TTTTTGTTTTAATTACTTTAATATTAACAACTATCAAAATTATTTTAATTAATTTTCTGTTTTAATTTTTGAACACATTTAAATGCATATTCATATTTAAACACATTTAATAACTTCCATTCATTTAATAAACCATTTATTAAATATTCTATGCATATTCTATAAATATTATTTAATAAAATATTTTTTTCTGATTTTAAATACATATTTTCTAATTCTATTAAATTTTTTTTTTTAGTTTTTAGTTTTTAAATGTGAAATTTAAATAACATAAATGTGAAATTTAAAACATATATTAAAGTTTTAAAATATTATGTAAATTATAAATAATATTCCTTATGATTTAGAAATATTTTATAAATTAGAAATAATATTTCTTGTGAATTAAAAATATTTTGTAAATTAGAAATACTGTTTCTTGTAAATTAGAAATATTTTGTTAATTAGAAATAATGCTCCATGTAAATTAGAAATAATGTTCCTTGTAAATTAGAAATAATGCTCCTTAAATATTATTTAATATTTAATAGATTAATTATTTTTAATTTAAATATAGAATTTTTTTAATTATGTTAAAAATAAATTTTAATTTGTTATTAATTTTTTTTAATATAAATATATATTATTCAAAAAATGAATGAAAATTATCAAATTCCTTTGAAACGGAAAATTAACTAAAATAATTTTAATAATTATTAATATTAAAGTAATTAAAATAGAAAATTAATAAGAATTAAATATTAAATATTATAATATGATAACAATTAATATTTTTTTTGTCCCAGTGATAGTGCTCCTTACATTCATCGAGGAGGTTATGGTTTCAAATTCCATTGTCATCAAAATTTTAGAGTTTTGTATTATTTATTTTTTCTAAATTTAAAATAATAATAAATAAAATTCTAATATAACATTTAAAATAATTAGAAAGAATAATAATAAAATCATATCAACATTTTTTAAATTAAAAATAAAAAAAAATAAAAAAAATCATCTAATCAACGTGTCATATTAATATTTAGAGTGTGTCATTTCTCACAAAAATTTAAAAGAACAAAAATTTCATATAACGAAGTTCGTTTTACAAATAGAAAATTACAAGAGAAAAAACATAAGTCCTCGCAGAAGCAAAAATTATTATTAAACTTAAAATTTATTTAAATTTAAATTTATTTTAAAATGAATTGTTATATAAAAATAATATGGTATTTTATAATTAGAAATAATGCTCCATGTAAATTATAAATAATGTTCCTTGTAAATTAGAAATAATGCTCTTTAAATATTATTTAATATTTAATAAATTATTTATTTTTTAATTTAAATGTAGAATTTTTTTAATTATATTAAAAATAAACTTTAATTTGTTATTAATTTTTAATATATATATATATATATATATATATATATATATATATATATATATATATATATATATATATATATATATATATATATATATATATATATATATATATATATATATATATATTATTCAAAAAATGAATGAAAATGATCAAATGTCTTTGAAACGGAAAATTAACTAAAATAATTTTAATAATTGTTAATATTAAAATAATTAAAACAGAAAATTAATAACAACTAAATATTAAATTAATATAATAACAATTAATGTTTTTTTATCCTAGTGATAGTGCTCCATACATGCATTGAGAGGTTCTGGGTTCAAGTAAGTTCCATTGTCCTCAAAATTTTAGAATGTTACATTATTTAATTTTTTCAAACTTAAAATAATAATAATAGAAATTCCAACATGATATTTAAAATAATTAGAAAGAATAATAATAAGATCATGTTAGCATTTTCGAAATTAAAAAATAAAAAACAAAAAAAATTATCTAATCAATGTGTTATATAAATATTTAAAGTGCGTCACTTCTCACAAAAGTTCAAAACAACATAATTTTCATATAAAAAAAATTGATTTTACAAAAAAAAAAAAATTAAAAAGAAAAAACATAAGTCGCCTATATGACAAGCAAAAATACTATTAATCTTAAAATCTATTTAAAATTTAAATTTATTTTAAAATGAATTGTTATATAAAAATAATATGGTATTTTATAATTAAATGAGAGATATCATATTATTCACAAATAAAATTGACTTTTTTTTTTAATTCATGGAAATGATTTATAGCTGTTGAATGAACCTTTGAGAAAAAGTTAAATCTATTTTACTAGAGGTTATATTTGTGGAATTTTGGTAAGAAACTAAAATAAGAATCTACTCTACAAAATAAAAAATAAAATTTGTGGCAAAACCTATGCAACCTTGGATGCCACAACTTGTCTTGTTTCTATCCACACATTTGTTAACCACGTTTCAACATTTTAAACTCGTAGCCTACACACATTCTCAACACTCTCGCTTTGGAGATGGAAAAGAGACTCATGCATGCTGTTCAGTACAATGCTTATGGTGGAGGATCCAATGCCTTAAAGGTTCTTCAACTTCATCTTGTTCTTTCATTTCTGTTCAAATTTTTAAAGATTTTTTGTTTATAATTTTTGAGTTCTTGCAGCATGTTGAAGTTCCCATACCTAGTCCTAGTAAAGATGAAGTTTTAATAAAATTGGAAGCAGCTAGCATAAACCCATTTGATTGGAAAGTACAGAAACGCATGCTGTGGCCTATTTTGCCTCCCAAGTTCCCATATATACCATGTAACTTCCTTTCCAATTCTTTTAGATCTTGATCTTTACTGATTGCTGAAACATGATTTTGTTTACAAAATAGTTTGCTACTTGAACCTAACCGAATCATTCAAAGTTTAGTTTTGTCTTGTTTGTTCCAAATCTTTAAAGATCAAAGATGCTGCATTCTGTAATAGGTATTGATATAGCAGGAGAAGTCACGGAGGTTGGTAAAAGTGTTAGAAAGTTCAAAGCTGGTGACAAAGTTGTAGGCTTGGTCAGCCCCTTTGTAAGTTGTTACTATACTATTCAGTCCATTTAATTTAATTGATGAATAATTTCTTTGATATATTCAAGGCCGTCTTTCAGAGCGTCTAAGGCGGGTTGCCGTAGAAGGTCCAAATTTTGTCACGGTTAAACTATAGTTAAACAGGGTCTCATTAAAATGATTGTTATGATGTTAAACCCTTATTAAATATGGATTCTATTTGTTTTGTCACGATTCAACTGCGACTAATCTACCTATGACCTTCAAAAATTTAAGATGGCTATGCTTTAAGTAATATAAATTGTTCCTATATAAGAAGTCTTGCATCAATTATAATATTTATTGAGTCATGAAACTATATTATGGTAGACTGGTGGAGGACTAGCTGAGTTTGCTGTTGTTAAGGAGTGTCTCACAGCTTCAAGAACACCAGAAGTCTTAGCATCAGAATGCGCCGGCTTACCTGTTGCAGGTTTAACAGCTCTCCAAGCACTTTCCCAATCAATAGGAATCAAACTCGACGGAAGCGGTAAGCGGAAAAACATTTTAGTCACTGCTGCATCAGGTGGTGTAGGCCACTATGCAGTTCAATTAGCAAAACTAGGTAACACTCATGTGACAGCCACTTGCGGTGCTCGAAACATCGAATTAGTCAAAAGCTTAGGAGCTGATGAGGTAATTGATTATAAGACACCTGAAGGTGCTGCATTAAAGAGTCCATCTGGTAAGAAATATGATGCAGTGATTCATTGTGCAGTGGAAGTTCCATGGTCAACTTTTGAGCCTAATTTGAGCATGAATGGTAAGGTCGTGGACATAACTCCTAGCTCTAGTTCTATGATGACATGTGCTCTTAAGAAACTTACCTTCTCCAAAAAACAACTCGTGCCATTGCTTTTGTTGCCAAAGGGTAAGGATCTTCAATATCTTGTTGATTTAGTTAAGCAAGGAAAACTTAGAACAGTTATTGACTCCAAATATCCTATAACAAAAGCTGAAGATGGTTGGGCTAAGAGTATTGATGGTCATACAACTGGGAAGATCATTTTTGAGTTCTAAATATGCATTATTTTGCTTTGTAATATATATATATATATATATAAGTATACACTATATTATATGGAATTTTTTTTAGCAATAACCAAGTATTTGAAAAAAAAAATACATAAATAATTATGTTTCAGGAAAAATTACGCAAATAACTATGTTTCAAAAAACTCCACAATAGAGGCGCCAAGTGAGATGGCGCATGTTCCTAGATTTAAGAAGGAGGCGCCAAGTGAGATAGCGCCTAGGTGCAACATGTTTGCCCTAAGTCATCTCAGATGGCGCCTAGGTGCAATTAAACGGTAACTTTTTTTTGCTTTCTATTTAAAATACGAGACAATAGGTAAACGATATAGCTTCACGAAACTTCGACTTTTCATTAACAAAAAACGATTATATAATGAAAAAAACATACATATTAATTAGTTGTCCCCCGGAACTCGGTAACGACCTGTGGTTCCGCATCGGCGTCCTCGCCTATCTCATGGTGAGTTTCGTCGATTTTCCTACTGCGGTTGGGTCGATGGCCTAACAAAGTCAATGCGTTCAGGATCCATGAAATCTGTCAGATCACCATATCTGGAAGATCCGCTTTGGTATAGTCGATTACCCATGCCCTCAAAGTTTGATCGTCTTGGTGGGGGGTGGGGTTCCATGGATGGTCTATAGCACTGATCGTTTGAGTAAGGGGCTGAAAAGGAAATGAATCTTGGGGTGTTTGGTATTGCGACGGTTGGATGCTATAGTGATGTGGTGGTTGATGGTAAGTTGGGTCAGTTGAGTCATATTCTTCGGAAAATCCCAGATCAGGACTAATGTGAGATGATGAGGGACCCACATTGGGATATGGAGAAGACTGAAATTGTGTGGGGGGCATGTTGGTGTATTGGTATTGTGATTGAGATTGGGGTTGAGTGTGGGGCATATGGGGGGTATTGATATTGAGGTGGTGATTATGGTTGGGTGTGGGGCAAATGGGTGTATTCGTATTGAGGTGGTGATTGTGGTTGGGTGGTTGTGGATCTGTATCATCGAGGTGGTTCGTGGGAGGTTGATGAGTGTTGGGTTTGTTGTTTGGGATTTGAGGTTTGTGTCCATTGTGTTTGTGGGTCAACCAAATATCTCAGATGAGACACATGCATTTCTGGGTTACTAACCGATTTGTACCAATTAAAATATTGATTATTGTGTCGTATATTATTCTGGTTGAAGGAAACAGGGAATTGTAAGACATGTTGGTGACGCCTATGCCACATCTTACACCATTCTAGAGCAAAATCTTTCCAATTAGTAAGACCCTATTGGACGTCGACCCTTTTGAGACGCCAGAGAGTCAAACAAGTTGAATCGCATGGTATCTCTTGATGCATTCCGAACTGCATCTTGACATGGTCGCCGTGGTGCATCTCCACGACGTTGAAACGTATGATTGCAGTTTTTACAGTCTAAACTGCTGCATCCTTGGAGTTTGATTCATGGTCCAAACTCAAATATGGTCTCTAGATAAACTGTGGATAAAATTAAATCAGCATAATAAAAACTTTAAAAATAAATAATTTAAAAGTAGAAAAGTTCAAAAGTACCACGTACATCATCCGGGCCAAGGTGATCCAATAGATTACGATATAGAGCGACATTAAATCTTAGATTCTTCCCGTAATTCATATCTGTCACGCAGTACCTAAAGAAATTGTGAAATAGTTTATTTTAAACATATATTTGGCGAAAGGATGAATAATAAATGATTTAAGTTCTTGACTTTGTTGCGTATGGGAAAATGAATGCGTTGTTGTTGACGGGGTTTAGGGATTCCATTCTCCACCAATCTCAGGCTTAGAGTAAGAAAGCGCATCCATAAAAAGTACATTGGTCCTTTGTTGCATTTTTACACAAAGAACTGTATAGATGAGCTAAAACAGCAGAACCCCAACTATACTTTCTTGTTTTTTCAAAGTTCCTAAGCAAACTTAAATACATAAAATTTACACTATATTCTCTGTACTTTCGGGAAATAACAAGCTTCTAAATAGTATCATCATATAATTTCTAGATTTTATTACTCTTGCTAGCTCGAACGAATTTTCATTCAACTCAAGAGTCAAATAATATTTTTTGAGTTCAGTTAGTAATATACATTGACCTCTAGCACCACTACCTTCTACCATATCTTTGCCCAACAATTCCTCGCATAGAGAATTGAGTTGTTGAACCGACCCATTAACCGTCTTATTGTCGATAGGGAGACCCAATAACATATACACATCCTCTAGTGTGACGGTACATTCACCTATTAGTAGATGAAATGTGTGTGTCTCGGGTCTCCATCTTTCCAATATTGCAAGTATAAACTTGGAATCAATCGTGCAGTTTGAGATTTTTATAACATTTCCAAAACCCGCATATTCGAGATAGGGCACGATCAACGGGCCGAGAGCAATGTAGTTATGTGAGCGAATTATAAATCTTTTAGTATCCTAAATTCAAAATGTAAAAAGTGTAAGAGTCCATAAGATGACTAAATTAATAATAATTTTAAAAAAAACTTAATATACAAGAATATTTGAGAATTTATAAAAACTTACAAACACCGCAATATTGTATCTCGTGCCTCTGTGAGAATCGCCCATTGTGAGAAGAGCCATATTTAAAATTGTATAAGACAATGACATAGTTTGTATCAGAGAGTGAGATGATTGTTGATGAAAAACAAGTATATCAGGTGTTGTATTTATAGGCGAAATTGTATCAAAGAATGAATAAACGAGGTGGTTGGTGGTTGCATGCATGAATGATACGTGCAACTCATGCGCCAAGTCAAATGGCGCTTACATGCAATTTAGAGAGTATGCTCCATTCAACTTGGCGTGGGACATGCCTAGTTGTAGCATAGGTGGCAGCATAGGTGGCAGCATAGGTGGCAAGCTAGGGGCAGGCTAGGGACAGGCTTTTGCGCATGCATGTAAGATGATTGGACATGTAGGGATGCACCATTTGACTTGGCGCATGAGTACAAAATTGAAAGGTGTCGCCATCTCAATTGGCGAATTAGTGGTGTCTTACTTTTGTATTGTTCAAATTCAATGCAACTAATTTTATCCTACATGTATCTAAAGGCCTTTACACTCAAACACCCAAACACTCAAACATTCAAATATTCAAACAATCAGACACTCAAACACTCAAACACTCAAACCTTCAAACATTCAAACACAATGGCCTCTACACCACAATACATTATTAGTGCACATTTCAACGGTGAGACGTACATTTGTGCCACCTCTGAGTTTTTGTTTAGAGACACTGAAAACATCTGATTTTGTTTAAACAGGAAAGCCAATTTCTTGTATTTCAAAAAACGATTGGAGGTCAAAATTTGATGAGGTCCTATGACACAGATCTTCTATCAAAATTTGGTTTTTTGTGAGATCTTCTATCGATTGAGTTGTACATTGTGCTGTAGGAGCCTCAACTGTCACGACCAACTCAATCACAAGTGGTTAATCCTCTCGAAGACGAATAAGCAGAAGTAGATGTCGTTGACGAAGAAGAGGAAGATGACGAGTTAGAGTTTGCCGACATGCTTAACGATGATTCTGAAGACGATGGGATACCTGGAATACATCCGAATGAGATATACACACCACCTCCACACATGACAAACTTCAACATGGGCGGAGATGAACCGTCATCTGATGTTTTTTTCAATCCGTATATGCAGTCGGATGAAAATTTAAAAGAGAAAGACAAATTTCGTAATAGAGAAGATTGTATCCGAGCCATAAAAAAGTTTCACATGCTAAACTCTATCGATTTTAAGGTAGATCGGGTAAATTCAGAAAGGTACAAGCTCATGTGTGTTCACCCAAATTGTATGTTCAGGCTCACTGCATCATATAGATTAAAAGGTGATTGTTGGATGATATGTTTTATGTCCACCCACATGTGCGTTAATTTTACTCAATCATAATATCATCGTAAACTAAATTATGATCTCACATGTCAACAAATCCTACCTCATGTCAAGAATGATCCGTCATTGAAGGTGAAAACCATAGTCTCTCACATCACTACGGTATACAACTATACTACGTCATACCGAAAGAGGTGGTTAGCAAAAACCAAGGCGATTGAAAAAGTATATGGAAACTGGGAGGAGTCATACAAAGAACTTTCACGCTACCTATATGCACTTCAGACGTATTCTCCGGGAACTGTTTATATTATGGAAATATTGTCGGCGTACGTCCCAGATGGTACTCATGTCACCGAAAATGGAATATTCAGTCGACTTTTCTGGGCTTTTCAACCTTGCATCACATGGTTTGCGTCATGCAAACCTATTATTCAAATTGATGGAACGTGGTTGTACGAGAAATACAAAGGCACGCTACTGATGGCAGTTGCACAAGATGGCAACAACAACATTTTCCCAATTGCCTTTACTCTAGTCGAGGGAGAGACTGGTGGTGCTTGGAGTTTCTTTCTTAGGAATCTCTGAACACACGTGTCTCCTCAACCTGATCTCTATTTGATCTCTGACAGATATACATCTATTGAGAGTGCATACAATAATCCTGTAAACGGTTGGCATGACTCTCCTTCTACGCATGTTTATTGCATTAGACATATCGTACAAAATTTCACGAGGGAGATCAAAGACAAGGCTCTTAGGAAAATAATTATGAACGCAGGGTATGCATTAACATAACCTTCATTCAAACACTATCACAACGAGATCAGATTGTCAAATCTGAATGCAGATAGGTGGATCGATAATATTCCGGTGGAGAAATGGACAAGGTCATACGACAATGGACAACAATGGGGCCACATGACAACAAATCTTACCGAATCCATGAACGATGTATTCAAAGGCATATGAAACCTCCCAATAACCGTTTTGGTCAAATCAACATATTTTAGGATGGCTTTGTTGTTTGCCAAAAGAGGTGAAATGCGGTCTTACAATCGGGACAACTATAGAGTGAAAGCTACATGAAGTATATTAAGGCAGAAAGTGTCAAAGCCAACACCCATCTGGTTATAAGGTTCGACCGAGACAGTCACAACTTCATTGTCAAAGAGACAATCGACCACAACGAGGGGCTGCCAAGACAAGAGTATAAGGTTATACTATTATCTCGTTGGTGCGATTGTGGAAAGTTTTAAGCCTTTCGCATGCCTTGCTCTCATGTCATTGCGGCATGTGGGTATACTCATCAAGACACATTACAACTTCTATCTCTCATTTATAAGTCTGAAACCTTGCTCGACGTATACAACAATGGCTTCCCATTGGTAGCGAAACCTGATTATTGGCCTGCATACAATGGGAAAATAATATGGCACAACGACCAAATGCGAAGGAATAAAAAGGGTCATCCCAAAAGCAAGCGTATCACAACTGAAATAGACTCCCTTGACAAGCTAGAAAGAAATTATGGTTTATATCGTCAAGTCGGACACAATCGAAAAATTGTCCCACTCGGGATACAAGCTCGACAACATAAAAATTGTATGCAAATCATCTTTACTTTTTTAAGTTCTAAACATTATTGTTTTTCATTAAGAGAATTTGTTACAACAAACCATACACAAACAACAAATAAAAACACGATAAAACGTCTAAGAAATTACAACCGTCAAAACAATTTCATTTGAGCCATGCATCATCACCATCACGTCTCTGTCTGTTCTGAATTCCTCCAACCAAAAATTAGGTCTTCCATTTGCAAGTGAGGTGACTGTTGTTCTTCTCTGGATCCTTCTAATTTGTTCCCCAGCCTCAATGTCTCCCTCTAGCCATCGCATCAACTCTCTCTTCAGACGCTCCATGGAGTGAATGTGCCAAAATTTCATTTTCATCGGAGGTTTGATGGCCGAGAAAATAACGTATCCATCTCTGGTGAAAATCATGGGAGATGTCATGACGCAAATAACAGAGAAAAAATAAGAAGACAGTGAGAGAAAGTGTGAAGAATGATGGAGAAATGTGTGATTTATTTATAGAAAACACAATTGTACGTAGTAGCCAAGTGAGATGATGCTTCATCTCCTTTTTATAGTGCATGCGCCATTTCACTTGGCTAAATCAAAGTGCATGCGCCAAGTGAGATGGCGTCTAGGGCAAAAAGGTGACTGCATGCGCCATCTCACTTGGCTCCTCCATTGTGGAGTTTTCTGAAACATGGTTATTTGCATAATTTTCTCCAAAACATGTTTATTTGTGTAGTTTTTTCAATACTTGGTTATTGCTAAAAAAATTCCAATATTACTATATCAATTCATATAATAGAATTTTTTTTAGCAATAACCAAGTATTGAAAAAAAAACACAAATAACCATATTTCGAAGAAAATTACACAAATAACCATGTTTCAAAAAACCCCGCAATGGAGGAGCCAAGTGAGATGACGCATGCAATCACCTTTTTCCCTATGCGCCATCTCACTTAGCGCATGCACTTTGTTTTAGTCAAGTGAGATGGTGCATGCACTATAAAAAGGAGAGGAGACGCCATCTCACTTGGCTACTACATGCAATTGTGTTTTCTATAAATAAATCATCCATTTCTCCATCATTCTTCACACTTTCTCGCACTGTCTTCTTATTTTTTCTCTATTATTTGCGTTATGACATCTCCCATGATTTTCACCAGAGATGGATACATTATTTTCTCGGCCACCAAACCTCCAATGGAAATGAAATTTTGGCACATTCACTCCATGAAACGTCTGAAGAGAGAGAGTTGATGAAATGGTTAGAGGGAGACATCGAGGTTGAGGAATAAATTAGAAGGATCCAGAGAAGAAGAACAACCACCTCAATTGCAATTGGAAGACCTAATTTTTGGTTGAAGGAAGTCAGAAAAAACAGAGACGTAACCGTGATAATGCATGACTCAAATGAAATTGTTTTGACGGTTTTAATTTCTTAGACGTTTTATCATGTTTTTATTTTGTTTGTGTATGGTTTGCTATAACAAATGCTCTTAATGAAAAACAGTAATGTTTAGAACTTAAAAAAGTACAGATGATTTGCATACAATTTTTATGTTGTCGAGCTTGTAGCCAGAAGGGGATAATTTTTCGATTGTGTCTAACCTGGCGACATAAACCACACTTTCTTTCTAGCTTGTCAAAGGAGTCCATTTCAGTTGTGATACGCTTGCTTTTGGGACGACCCTTTTTATTCCTTCACATTTGATCGCTGTGTCATACTATTTCCCCATCGTATGCAGGCCAATAATCAGGTTTTGCTACCAATGAGAAGCCATTGTTATATACGTCTAGCAAGGTTTCAGACTTGTAAATGGGAGATAGAAGTTGTAATGCGTCTTGATGAGTATACGCATATGCTGCAATGACATGAGAGCAAGGCATACGAAAGGCTTGAAACTTGTCACAATCGCACCAACGAGATGGTAGTATAACCATATACTCTTGTCTTGGCAACCCCTTGTTATGGTTGATTGTCTCTTTGACAATGAAGTTGTGGCTGTGTCGGTCGAACCTTATAACCAAATGGGTGTTGGCTTTGGCACTTTCTGCCTTAATATACTTCATGCAACTTTCACTCTATAGTTGTCTCGATTGTAAGACCGCATTCCATATTTGACCTCTTTTGGCAAACAACGAAGCCATCCTAAAATATGTTGATTTGACCAAAGCGGTTACTAGGAGGTTTCGTATGCCTTTGAATACACCGTTCATGGATTCAATAAGATTTGTTGTCATGTGGCCCCATCGTTGTTCATTGTCGTATGGCCTTATCCATTTCTCCACCGGAATATTATCGATCCACCTACTTGCGTTCGGATTTGACAATCTGATCTCGTTACAATAATGTTTGAACGAAGGTTGTGTTAATGCATACCTCGTGTTCATAACTGTTTTCCTAAGAGCCTTGTATTTGACCTCCCTCATGAATTTTTTTACGATATGGCTAATTCAGTAGACATGCGTAGAAGGAGGGTCATGCCAACCGTTTGCAGGATTATTGTATGCACTCTCAATAGATGCATGTCTGTCGGAGATCAGGTTGAGGAGTCACGTGTGTTCGAAGATTCCTGAGAAAGAAAATCCAAGCACCACCACTCTCTCCCTAGACTAGAGCAAAGGCAATTGGGAAAATGTTATTGTTGTCATCTTGTGCAACTGCCATCAGTAGCGTGCCTTTGTATTTCTCGTATAACCACGTTCCATCAATTTGAATAATAGGTTTGCATGACACAAACCCTGTGATGCAAGGTTGAAAATCCTAGAACAATCGACTGAATATTCCATTTCCGGTGACATGAGTACCATCTGGAGCGTACGCCGGCAATGTTTCCATAATAAAAACAGTTCCCAGAGAATACGCCTGAAGTGCATATAGGTAGCGCATAATTTCTTTGTATGACTCCTCCCAGTTTCCATATACCTTTTCAATCGCCTTGGTCTTTGCTAACCACACCTTTCGGTATGACGGAGTATAGTTGTATAACATAGTGATGTGAGAGATTATGGTTTTCACCTTCAATGACAGATCATTGTTGACAAGAGGTAGAATTTCTTGACATATGAGATCATAATTTAGTTTACGATGATTCTGTGATTGAGTAGAATTGACACACGAGTGGGTGGACATAGAACCTATCACCCAACAATCACCTTTTAACCTGTATGATGCAGTGAGTCTGAACATACAATCTGGGTGAACACACCTGAGCTTGTACCTTTCTGGATTTACCCAATCTACCTTAAAATCGACAGAGTTTAGCATGTGAAACTTTTTTATGGCTCGAATACAATCTTCTCTATTACGAAATTTGTCTTTCTCTTTTAAATTTTCATCCGACTACATATATGGATTGAGAAAAATATCAGACGACGGTTCATCTCCGCCCATGTTGAAGTTTGTTATATATGGAGGTGGTGTGTAGATCTCATTCGGAGGTATTCCATCGTCTTCAGAATCATCGTTGACCATGCCCTTAAACTCTAACTCGTCATCTTTCTCTTCTTCGTCAATGACATCTACTTCTGCTCGTTCGTCTTTGAGAGGATCAACCACTTGTGACTGACTTGGTTGTGACAGCTGAGGCTCTTGCAGTATAATGTACAACTCAATCGAGTCGTACCCAGAATACTCATGACTAGAAAACATATTCTGAAGGTCCTCGTCATCTTGAACCTCTACATTTATAATATATTATTTGGTTCTCACAAAAAAAACGGATTTTGATAAAAAAAATTATGTAACAGGACCCCGTCCAAATTTGACCTCCAATTATTTTTTGAAATACAAGAAATTGGCTTTCCTGTTTAAACAAAATTGGGTGTTCTCAGTGTCTCTAAACAATAACCCTGAGGTGGGACAAATGTACGTCTTACCGTTGAAATGTGCATTGATAACGTATTGTGGTGTAGAGGCCATTGTGTTTGAAGGTTTGAGTGTTTGAGTGTCTGATTGTTTGAATGTTTAAATGTTGAGTATTTGAGTGTTTGAGTGTTTGAATGCATGTAGGATTAAATAGGTTGCATTGAATTTGAACAATACAAAAGTAAGCCACCACTAATTCGTCAATTGAGATAACGACACCTTTCAATTTTTTACTTATGCGCCAAGTTAAATGGCGCATCCCTACATGTCCAATCATCTAACATGCATGCACAAAAGCATGCCCCTAGCCTACCACCTACGCTGCCACCTATGCTACAACTAGGCCTGTCCCACACCAAGTTGAATGGCACATGCTCTCTAAATTACATGTAGGCGCCATTTGACTTGGCGCATGAGTGGCATGTATCATGCATGCATGCAACCACCAACCACCTCATTTATTCATTCCCTGAAACAATATAAATACAACGCCTGATATACTTGTTTTATATCAACAATCATCTCACTCTCTGATACAAACTCTTTCATTGTCTTATACAATTTAAATATGACTTTTCTCACTATGGGCGATTCTCACAGAGGCATAAAAGAAAATATTGCGGCGTTTGTAAGTTTTTATAAATTCTCAAATGTTCTTGTATATTAATATATATATTTTTAAATTATTATTGATTTAGTCATCTTATGGACTCTTACACTTTTTACATTTTGAATTTAGGATACTAAAAGATTTAAAATTCGCTCACACAACTAAATTGCTCCCGACCTGTTGATCGTGCCCTATCTCGAATATGCGGGTTTTAGAAATGTTATAAAAATCTCAAACTGCACGATTGATTCCAAGTTTATACTTGCAATGTTGGAAAGGTGGAGACCCGAGACACATATATTTCATCTACCAATACATGAATGTACTGTCATACTAGAGGACGTGTACATATTATTATATTTCCCTATCGATGGTAAGGCGATTAATGGGTCGGTTTAACAACCCAATTTTCTATGCAGGTTATTGTTGGGCAAAGATATGGTAGAAGGTAGTGGTGCTATAGGCCAATGTATATTACTAATTGAACTCAAAAAACATTTTTCGACTCTTGAGTTGAATGAAAATTCGTCCGAGCTAGCAAGAGTAATAAAAACTATAAATTATATGATGATACTATTTGGAAGCTTGTTACTTCCTGAAAGTACAAGGAATAGTGTAAATTTTATGTATTTAAGTTTGCTTAGGAACTTTGAGAAAACAAGAAAGTATAGTTGGGGTTCTGCTGTTTTAGCCCATCTATACAGTTCTTTGTGTAAAAATACAATAAAGGACAAATGTACTTTTTTATGGTTGCACTTTCTTACTCCAAGACTGGGGTTGATGGAGAATTGAGTCCCTAAACCCCGTCAACAACAATGCATTCATTTTCCCATACGCAACAAAGTAAGTCAAGAACTTTAATCATTTATTATTCATCCTTTCGTCAAATATATATTTAAAATAAACTATTTTACAATTCCTTTAGGTATTGCGTGACGAGTATGGATTACGGCAAGAATCCAAGATTTAATGTCGCTCTATATCATAATCTATTAGATCACTGTGGCCTGGATGATGTACATGGTACATTTGAACTTTTCTACTTTTAAACTATTTATTTTTTACATTTTCATATGCTGATTTAATTTTATCCACAGTTTATTTGGAGACCATATTTAGGTTTGGACCATGAACCAAACCCCAAGGATGCAGTAGTTTAGACTGCAAAGACTGCAATCATACAGTTTAATATTGTGGAGATGCACCACATCGACTGTTTCAAGATGTTGTTCGAAATGCATCAAGAGATACCATGCGATCCAAATTGTTTGTCTCCCTGGCATCTCAAAAGGGTCGACGCCCAATGGGGTCTTACTAATTGGAAATATTTTGTTCTCGAATGGTGTAAGATGTGGCATAGGTGTCACCAACATGTCTTGCAATTCCCTGTTTTCCTCAACCAGAATAATATGCGACACACGAATCAATATTTTGATTGGTACAAATCGGTTAGTAACCCAGAAATGCACGTGTCTCATCCGAGGTATTTGATTGACCCACAGACATAATGGGCACAAACCTCAAATCTCCAACAACAAACCCAACACACATTAATCTCCCACCAACCACTCCGACGACACAGATCCACAACCACCCAACCCCAATCACCACCTCAATACGAATAGAGCCATATGCCTCACACCTAACCACAATCACCACCTCAATGCCAACACCCCCATATGCCCCACACCCAATCTCAATCACAATACTAATACACCCACATGCCCCACACACAATTCCAGTCTTCTCCATATCTCAATGTGGGCCCCTCATCATCTCACTTTAGCCCTGATCTGGGATTTCCCGAAGAATATGACTCAACGTACCATCAAGCACCACATCACCATAGCACCCAACAGTCGCAATACCAAACACCCCAAGATTCATTTCCTTTTTATCCCCTTTACTCAAACAACCATTGCTATAGACCATCCATGGAATCCCACCCCCTACCAAGACGATCAAACTTTGAGGGCATGGGTAACCGACTGTACCAAAGCGGATCTTCCATATATGATGATCTGACAGATTTAATGGATCCTGTATGCATTGACTTCGCTGGGCCATCGACCCAACCGCAGCAGGAAAATCGACGAAACCCACCACGAGATAAGCGATGACACGAATGCGGACCACATGTCGTTACCGAGTTCTGGGGGACCGCTAATTAATATGTATGGTTTTTTCATTATGTAATTATTTTTTGTTAATGAAAATTCGAAGTTTCGTGAAGCTATATCATTTACCTATTGTCTCGTATTTTAAATAGAAAGCAAAAAAAATTGCCCTTTAATTGCACCTAGGCGCCATCTGAGATGGCTTAGAGCAAACATGTTGCCCCTAAGCGCCATCTCACTTGGCGGCTCCTTCTTAAATCTAGGTGCACGCGCCATCTCACTTGGCGCCTCTATTGTGGGGTTTTCTGAAACATGGTTATTTGGGTAATTTTCCCCGAAACATGGTTATTGATGTATTTTTTTTCAATACTTGGTTATTGCTAAAAAAATCGTAATATTGTTCAGTTTTATTATTATTTTTGGTCGGTCGATGAAATGATAATAACCACTGGAATTTACCCATACAAGTGCCAAGATTTGAAATCTGATAATGACGTCCAATTTAGCAAAATTGATTTGTATCACTTGAACTAAGATTTGCAGACTTGTGTAGTTTTATGTTAGTATTAAATGAGTCTGATCATTTACTTTGTGTCTGAGTACTTTTCAAATATATGAAGAAAAATAAGTGTATTTTACGAGTTTATTTGATAAATAATTTTTTTTAATATTGTGGACAAGGAGTAGAAGAAACATATTGTAGATGTGAAAAGAGTAGGATATTGACTCATAGCTTTGAAATTTGCAGTGGATTAAGACATCTTTAATGTTATTAGAGTTTATGCATTTTAGGTTAAATTATCTGAAAAAATTGAGGTAAAATTTTGGGAGGATTTAAAAGACTTATTTCATGATATACTTCAAGGAGAGAAGCTTTTTCTAGGAGGAGATCTATATGGTCATGTAAGGAGCGTAACAATAGGTTTTGAAAGCGTGATGCTAGGTTTGGGATCCCTTTCTATGTGGAGAAAGACTCAAATGTGTTAGTTCATTTGTCTCACTTATTAAGTGGAGAGGGTCAATTTAGAGTTGTGAGAGATAGAGAGAAAAGAAGGCTTTAAAAGAAAGATAATAGAAGAGAATCATATTCCCATTTTTTGTAATCAGTCTCATTAAATAAAAGATTCCGAATTCTTTAACTGTTGGATCGAACTCAAATTTGGAAGGCAGATTTGCAGCACCTGTATCTATCTTTTGATCGTTCGAATTTTCAAAACAAAGTATGATCTAAGAGATATCTGCTTCAGATTTGGTTAATATTTTCAACTTCTTGATTCTTAATTGTAAGCTAGTTTTCTTTGTGATTTTGTGGTTGTTAGCACTAATTTGTGAATCACTTTAAGACTCTTTTATATCCTTATTTTATTGTAGTGAAACTATTTCTTTGGTCGGAACGACTTATGGTTTTTCTCTCATATTGAGTGGTTTTCCACGTTAAAATATCGGTGTTCTTTTGTGTTTTTATTTGTTTGATTTACTGCCATATATTTTTTGTTGATCCTAATAGGTACTTATAAATTTGGAGAATTTTATATCTGGTGTATATTGATCTGTTATTGTGTGTTAAGTTCCCATCAGAGTGACGTTAGAGTTTTGGCGTCAGAGCTTTTGGTTAAGGGCTATTTTACTTTTTTGAATAATGGATTCAAATAGAAATATGAAGTTGGTTTCGTTGAATGGTTGTAATTACTATTTGTGGAAGGGCAAGATGAAAGACTTACTATTTATGAAGAAATTACATTTATCAGTGTTTAGTTCCACAATGCCTGATTCTATGTCTAATTAAGAATGAGAGTTTAAACATCTACAAGTATGCAGTTTTATTCGGAAATATGTATAAGATAATGTATATAATCATATTTTTAACGAGACACTTGAAGAAACTTTGTGGGAGAAGATATAGTCTTTGTATGCCTATATATTATGGAATAATAAATTGTTCTCCTTGAATAGCTTCATATTGAATAGCCTCAAGGAAGTCAAAGTTGCTTCAATTGATATATTATGATATTTATGGTCCATTAGAGGTAAAATCCTCTAGTGATGCACTTTATTTTGTTACATTTATTAATGATTATTCCAGAAAACTATGAGTTTATACCTTGAAGATAAAAGACTAAGTGTTGGAGAAGTTCAAAGAATGTCATGTTTTGGTTGAGAGGTAGATAGACGAGAAGTTGAAATGTGTTCATTTTGACAATGGTGGTGAATATTGTGGACCATTATATTCCTGTTATAAGTAGTATGGTATTTCACATGAAAAGTCTCCTCCTAAAACTCCTCAATTGAATGGTTTAGCAGAGAGAATGAATCAAACACTAATTGAGAGAGTAAGGTGTATGCTCTCTGAAGCTAAGTTGCTCAATCATTATTGAGGTGAGGCACTTTACACGACAATGCATGTTCTTAGTCTCACTCCTATTGTTGCTTTGAATAGTGAAGTTCCAGACAAAGTTTTGTTTAGAAAGAATGTTAAATATGATCATTTGAAAGTCTTTGGTTGTAAGGCTTTTGTGAATATTCCAAAGGATGAAAGATCCAAGTTGGATGCAAAGTCAAATCAATCTATCTTCATCAACCATGGGCAATATGAGTTTGATTACAAGTTGTATGATCCTATAGGGAATAAGCTTATTTAAGTTGCGATGTGGTGTTCATGGAAGACCAAACAATTGAAAATTTTGATAAGGTGGAGAAGACTACATCAAATAAAGATATCAATTTTTATAATATTGATCCAGTTTGGTTACCTAGTCGTAATCTGAATGCTATTGGTGGTTATGATTAGAACGGTGAGCCATATGATTATTTTCATGATAAACAACTTGGAGATGAGGTGAATATTTCAACTAATTAAGATGAATGGGAGAATTATATTTCACAGGATGAGAATCTTAATGAAGCTCCATAATCATCTCAAGTTCAACTTAGAAGGTCTAACAAGTAGAGACAACCTTCTATAAGGTATAATTTTTATGAGTATGTGACCTTGATTGATGGGGATGAACTTGAGTGTTTTCTAGAGGCCATGAAAAGTGATGAAAATCAAAAGTGGTGGTTAGATGCAATACATGTTGAGATGAAATCATTGCATGATAATCACACTTATGATTTAGTGAAGTTGCATAAAGGATAAAGGGCTTTGGAAAACAGGTGAATTAAAGAGTTAAACATAAGAGTAACTCTAAGTCTCTAAGGTATAAATTTATATTAGTGGTGAAAGGTTTTCGTCAAAGAAAAGGTGTTTATTTTAATGAGATTTTATCACCTGTTGTCAAGATATCATCAATAAGAGTCGTGTTGAGTTTAGTTGTTACTCTTAATTTAAACATTGAACAAATGGATGTGAAAATGGCTTTCCATCAAGGTGATTTAGAGGAAGAGATCTAGATGAAATAAGCCAATAGTTTTCAATTTAAAGGCAAAAAATATCATGTGTGTAGATTGAGAAAGAGTCTATATGGGTTGAAAAAATATCCAAGGCAACGGTACAAGAAGTTTGAATCTGTTATGTGTGATCATGGATACCTAAAGAGTAATTTAGATCATTGTGTCTTTGTTAGAAAAAATTTTAACGATGATTTCATTATCATATTGTTATATTTTTATGATGTGATTATTGTAGAAAAAATATTTCTAACATTGATAGGTTAAAGAAGCAGTTGGGCGAGTCATTTTCCATGAAAGATATGAGAGCGGCTAAATAAATTCTTGGCATTAGAATCTTGTGTGACAGAAAGGAGAAAAAACTTTTAAAGGTTCAATGAAACAAAAGAAATGGGGAGGTTTGAATTGGGTTTCAAGATTTAACACTTTTTCTAGCATCCAAACTTCAAACAATACTCATACAACAAGCATGGAACAAAAATAAAAGACACAAATATTTTTATCCTAGTTCACCGATAACAAGGTTAGTTCAGTCCATCCACCAGAGTGATTTTTCCTTATCAACAAATACTTAACCCACTAATAAATTAACCTTTGGTTACAACCTCAATGAAAAACCGTCATTGACATCTCAAGAACTCTGACTGAACTGGTCTCTTGAGGAAATCAACCTCAATGAAAAATTTTCATTAACATATCAAGAACTTTGACCAAACTAGTCTGTTGAGTAAGTCAACCTCAATGGCAAACCGTCATTGATATCTCAAGAACTCTGACCGAATTGGTCTCTTGAGGAAATCAACTTCAATGACAAATCGTCATTGACATCTCAAGAATTCTGGCCAAACTGGTCTCTTGAGGAAATCAACCAAACTTGGTTATATAAGATTTGTGTTTACAAGAGTGCTTCTTAGCTAAGCAGATACATAAATTTACATTCAAGGTTTACACAATAGAAAGATATTAAGAATTTATGCTTTGAGGGATTTCTTCTTTCTTATGATCTCTTACACAAACATTCTTCTTATTGTGCTTTTTTCATCTTTCTCTTTTGTGATTGTTACTCTGCATTCTCCACTATGATCACTTTGATAAAGACTAAGGATTTCAGATGATAATCATACTTTTAACATATTTCCTTGTCTCTCATTTTCTTTTTCATAGTTTCTTCTGGTTGTGTATGATTTTTCTTGTGTAATAACTGCAATATTCTTCTCTTCTTTGCTCTCAACCTTTCTGCACCAAAACTTATCTTCATTGAATATCCTTATTGATTTCTTTCAATTCTTTTTTTATTTCACACTCTCATAAGGTTTTTACACATATATATTCTCTTTTTGTTGTGTGCACCTTCATCATTTTTCTTTCTGCTTCTCAGCTACCTTTACTCTTGTATTTTTCTTGTGTACATCTTTTTCTTGTACAACTCCACTCTACATTTTTTTGTGTGTCTCACTCTCTCTTTTATGTAAATTGTCTGCAAACCTCTTCAATCTTTCAATTCATCTTTAAAAAGATAAATAAAATAGATCCATTGGAGAATAAAAGATTGAGTATCCATATAACAAATAGTTGTTGGAGACGTTAGATAGAAACATAGTAGAGTGACATTTGTA